CATAAACATAATAATAAATCAATTGGGCACACGAAAGTTCACACCGCACTTCTAGACTCAACTTGACTCAACTTGACTTGTACTACTAATGTCTTATTACATAGAAAGGACTCCAACACCTATGGGCGAAATTTATGGGGAAGCTACTTGTAGATCCTTGGTAGGTTGAGACACACCCTTTGCTTGTCTATCACTTGTCGGTATCTCTTGAGGGTCACCACCTGTGCCTTTAACTGATCTTCCAGTCGTTGATTCTTGTCTACTAACTCACAGGCATAGTGCACCATCACTTGAGTAGTGGGATCCATGCCTTTAGGGTCCATTATTGCCCATCCCAAGTTAGGGTGTTGGTGAGGGAGGAAGCGATATTGATCTTCCTTCATGTCATCAAAGCGACGACCACGGAGACCCATGCAGGCTACAGCGGCTACATCATCTATGCTATCTTCCATGGTGGCACAGTGAGCGTGATGCGCATAGTTCGAGTCCAGCTGGTATGCGTCCTTTTGTTCATCCTTGATGGAGATGCACATCCTGGTCTTCCAATAAGTGTCCTCCAGAGGGTGTGTATGCTCATTGCAGACGTACTCCACAGCTGCGTCCTAATCAACGTAGTAGGTCTGAAGAATCCCCATAAGTTGGTGGTGCGAGGCAGAGGATTCACACCCTGGCTTGTACTAGACCATCATAGTCCATCCCAGGGGACGGATAGGCTGATCTTCTTGAACGAGTCCTCATCATCATCATCATCAGACAATACAACGACCTCCACTTCTTTGGATTCTTCTTTGGGCTCTTCTTGGAATAGCTCAGGCGTAGGTGCAGGTGCTGGCGGGTCAACTTCTTACTCCTAGGGTTCCTCCTCCTCTCATGGCACCATGGACTCACACAAGCCACGAGGCGGATAGTAGCCTCCGATGCTGATGCGAGCGGTCTTATTGGCACGAGACATCTACAGAATTAGATTTAGTTAGATTAGAAGCAATAATTTTCACAATAGAGTGAGGCAAAAGAAGCATCAAATTTTAGCAAATAACAAGAGTGAGATGGGAAGCATGAAGTAAGTAAAACAAAAGAGGCTAAAACGACCATTGCTAACTAGGCTTGCCTCCTACAGTCAACACGGCTTTGATACCAATCTGTCACACCCAATTTTAAGGATAAAATAGGATGCAAAATCTCATGTGCGCCCAGAGATCAGTCACACACATAAACCGACAAATTATAAATAGTATCATCATAAATGTTTATTACATCACAAATGATAAGAAATAGTCTTCACATAAATGTAGCGGAAGTATAAAGAAAAATCTCTCGTGGAAGCTCCATATCATAGGGACGTCAACTGGTTGACCACAAGTCTAGAAATCCTCAGGAAAGTCATCATTACCATAGCCATCTGTTACCCATCCATGATTTTTATCCAAATAATAAAAATAAACAAGCGTAAGTACGTGTCGTACTCAACAAGTGTAACATAGGGTTCATGAGGCTCAAAAGGCTTGACACAGGTTTAACATCATTCAGTTTTTAGTTGTCAATTTTAGCATAAGAGTAGCATCAAGTTGTTTTAATCCCATAGTAAACACATGATCAATGTAAACAAGAATAACGAATAGCATAAACGGATAATTCTTAGTGATCATCTATTCCATAAATGTTCCAAGGCCGCTCGTGACCGTGAGCATGGCTGATATATCAGTTTTACACTCTACAGAGGTTGTACACTATCACTGTAAGTCGTGATACCCATATGCCCGGGTTAATTACTCCCAAAACACTTTCAAGGTGAGCAGGCAGGGTCACTATGAAGCATTTCAAAGGTTCGTCTAACAAGTTAGGGCCATTAGATTCACTCGGCAAACAGATATAGGACCCCCTGTCGAATGGCACAATTCCATCGCGGCTATACACATAAGAGTAGAGGCTGTCCTATACCCGATTCGGCAAGCCATTCTTACGCCAATAAAGGTAACCTCTAACAAGCTAGAAAAGGTCCTCATACTGAGCTAAAGCCAGAGCCATGTAGCCCTCATAGCTGTACTATAAGTCTCGGATGATCACTTACAGATAAGTCATTAGGGAGAGGAATCTAAAGCATTTTAAAAGTAGCTAAACACTCCAACCCCCTGTTTCCATGTTGCTAAAAAGTCATATTTTAATGTTTATTGCATCTACCATTAGTCAAGTTACAAGATCATGGTTTAATTGAGCACTAACAAGGCTACCCAATGCATATCCCATAGGAGACAAGGTATAAATTCAATTCTAAGGAATCTCTATCAAGGTGACACATGCAATATGAATTAAATGTATTAAAGTTTATAGGAAACAAGGATAATTCCATGCTATACTTGTCTTGGATAAAGTGCTCCTGTTGATCCTGCTTGTCAAAGTAGTACTCTTGTTCACCCACGAATTGCTCACCGTCTATACTTAATAATCACAGCAACATACAAGCATGCAGAAGCAATCATGCATAGCAAACAAAAGTTATATATTAGAATAGTATAACAATCAGCATAAAATCAAGATGAAAAGTTTGTAAAACGAATCTACGTCTTGCTAAGATCACAAAAATCGGAGCTAAAACGAAGAAGTTATGATTTAAACAAGATTTCCTTTAGTAAAATAATAGATTAAATCTAACCTCGAATTTTAAAAGTTAACAACATACCTAACAGTAGTATGACCATGTAGATTATGGAATTACGAACCTAATGCAACTTGAACAGATCAAATCGGAGTTAAAACGAAGATGTTATGGCTTAAACAAGATTAGTTAAAACGAAGATGTTATGGCTTAAACAAGATTAGTGGCAAAACTGTAAATAGATGAAAACGTATTTTGAATCTAATCCAAAGGAAACTACGCTTTCTAAAGAAGAAAACGTATTCTGGATTTGCACATTGGACTGCGGCTTCTATAATCAAAAACCCGAGGGGCTCTTTAGAATATATGAAAGGACGACGGGTTAGATTAAGGAATAGGAGGGGGTCTCTTTTGCAAACGGATAATTCTTAGATTAAGGAATAGGAGGGGGTCCATGAGGAAACAAACCAAGGTAGAGGAGAGCAAGGAGAACTCGCCACGATCTGTTACCGTGGCGTGGAGCGAACGGAGGCGGCGTGGCACACAGCGAAGCGGACGGCGGCGGCGGCGGCGGTGCGAGCTGCTAGGGTTTGTGGCGACTCGGCGATTCGGAGCGAGGGCGACAGCTTCGACGCAACTGGGTGGAGGCAGCAAACACGGCTCGGCTTTTATGAGACGGGGCGGCGTGAGGTGCATGGCACGACGCGAAAACAGGGCTGGCTCGGACTCGAGCTAGAGGAAGAAGAAAACAGCTGACAAGCGGGACCCGGTTGCTAGCGGCTCAGGGCGAGAGAGGAGAGGGTGTGGGCGACGCAGGCCTTCGACTGGGCTAGCTTGCTGGGCGCGAGAGAGGGAAAGGCCGAGCGGGGAGAGCAGGCCCATGCGGGGGAGTAATGAAGAGGTGAAGGCGGGCTGCGCCTGGGCCAGCAGGCCAAATAGAAGGGAAGAGAGAAATCCTTTCTCTTTTTTTCTTTTCATACTTTCCAAACCAATTTTTTTGAATACAAATTCAAATCAATTTGAAATTTGATTTCAAAACACACAATTAAAAAAAATAATATGCAGTAGCATGAATGCACAAACATGTATGTAGACCTTATATTTGTTTTTAACTTAATAAAAATTATTACTTTTCTAAGTTTAAATGCTCACAAATATACATAATTAAATCAATTCACCTATTTTAAAATGGTGCAAATTTTTGGGTGTTACAATGTTCTACAATAGAAGCATAATATTTTGATTGCACCTTGTTTTTACAAGTGCAAGACAATTCGGTTCATCTCTAGAATTATTTCTACTGAATGAAAATATGAAATGGACTCCATAATAAGATGTGAAGAAATAGTATGTACCGAATGCTTCAGGAATGATGTCATGTTATTTGTCAATCTGCTCAGTGCTGCCAATGGATGCTTCCCATTTAACATGCTACTCACTGCCATGTCCACTTCATTGTCTGGTTTCATGGTGAGGAACAAAAGAGTAACCAAATACAAAATGTTAAAATAATAACTATGACATGTAAATGTACCAACTTATAAGACAATCGTATAAAGAATATGACACCAAAACAATTGTATGTTCGTGTACTATTAATCATATTTCACAATCAAGATTAGTTCAGTTCACCTATGACAGTAATAATCTATTACAAACGCTGAATTTTGAAATCCGAACTATATATAATATGAAAGATTTGTACTCGCTTAAATCACAGGCAAGTCCCCTATTTATAAATTACAACTAACTTACTATCAACTAGACCTACTACCACGCTTGTTTTGTTCTTTTAACATATTTCTATCCTTTTATCAAAAATTTTGTACAGCAAGCACTAAGATACTTACCAATGTTGTAGTTCAATAGAGCTGTAACAGCCATACATGCTTGATTTGAGAACAGGCTGAAAAACGATAGAAGCTGTTGTATGCCTGACTTCTCATATGATGTTGCTTTTGCAGTGACAATGGAAGGGAAACTTATAGGTAAAAAGTTTTCAATTATAAAATTAAGAATATTCATACAATTGAAAACATTTATTTCAAAATATACCTGGATTCACTAGTACCAATATCAAATTAATATGTGGATTACGAGCAGCTACTGCAAGTGCCAAACATCCTCCAAAAGAATTCCCCAATAGATAGATCGGCTTATTGGGAGAAGTGGCATGATCTTTTCTTACAGCATCTTCTACCATTGTAACAAGATCTGAAAAATAAAAGCAGCTAAACCATACAATCTTGAGAACTTCAAAATTGGCAAGTTATTCTTCATCTGAATATCCTCTATTATGATGGAATAAAACAGGCTTAGATCCACAATCCTTCATCAATAAATTAATCCACAAACACATGTGTACCTTCAAATGGCGTGCGATCATGAAGAGGAACGTGCATGCATCTTAGTTCAAAAATCCTGCACATGGGATCCAACATTATTTAGTGATCAAATTTTTAACCAAGTGATGAAACTATTCGCAATAGAAACAAACTAAAGTTCTCTGTATTTCTGATGACGACCTCCCAAGTGCCTTGTGATGCATGAAGAGTCCCATCCCCATTCCATCTACTACGCCTGAAAGGAGAAAGGTTCTCACCCCAAAACGTTTGATGCATTACACACTATACATAGATTCATTCTTAACCATTGACAGCACAACATTAATTGAAGGCATATTTAATTTACCAGACAAATATAGCATCAGAGGAGCATCCTCGATCGGGGTGCCGGCGTCGACGGGGCAAAACCAGCGCACCGGCCCACTGTCATGCTCCACCAGCTCGCCAAGTGATTCGTAGTAGTAATCTAGGTTCTTCACCGTCTGGTACCCATCGTCATACAGTGCCTCAAGGCCCCTGTAGCTCGCCTGCAATCTCCCAGCATGCTTCTTCACCGGGTAGCTGCCAACGTTGCCGTGGTTGACAGAGAGGGGCAGCGGCCTTGGTGTGTAGACGAGGAGACAGAGTCGCCATTGGTGTGAGCTAGAAAGCTTTTTCGGGAGTTCTTGGCATATTGTTTTCGGGGAGGCCCAGGGAAGAATGGAGTCATGCGTTAGGGAAGTGTCAAGGTGTGCAACGGAAATAGCTGAAACGGAGTGAGGCACAAATGGTGTGAGTTTAGAGTGCTGTAGACTTACACATACTTGAAATTTGTGTGACCTGGTCATGTGGAAATCAACCATGTGATGTGGTCGGACTACCGTCTCACTTATGCTAACTCTAGCTCATCAACACATGCTCCAGCATGGGTTAGAATCCTAATAGACATGGGATGAGAAGTTCGTGTTTAGTACCTCTGAAAGATCAATTGGTGAATTTTAGAGGAATTCTGGATGTAGGGATGAGAACAAGAAGAAGCGGCATGGATGAATAGCGAAAAGTTCTGAACCCCGTCACCTCCCGATCCTTCTCAGTTCCTTCATATCTATCTTGTATGTTTTTTGTTTGACTCATTGCCATCCAGTATTTACACACATCAATAGTACATATAGCCAATCAAATTTATTTATGTTTGCGATATACCTTTGTTCATTTCTAAATTCTAACGCGATACTTATATTAGATACTTTGTATTCTCTATCTAGCTACGTGTTGGAAAGTAACGTTTTCCAGCAGGTGATATGGAGAGAGCCTTCGTCCGGTCGGATGCCCCAGGCGAAGGTTAAGAAAGAGGTAGGTGGGTCCTGGCACAATTAGGGTTCCATAAATGCACTCACCAACTAACCCAATTAGGGTTCCATAAATGCACTCACTAACTAACCCCCAAACAAGCTTTAGCTCTCCCCTTTTATAGGGCGCTATTCACTACTTTTTTGTTTTTACATCTTTGTCCTATAACTGTTACGGTATATTCCCTTAATATCCTCTTGGTAGTGTAGGCAGCCCGGGACAAACTGGACCTTCCCTTTTTTGCACCGCCTTGTCTCCTTGGGCCTGAATTGCCGGCCCAAAGGAAAGCCCATTCCTGGCCCGAGGTCGCCTCCGCGCCATGAACCCTCCTGCTGTGGTGGAGCCAGCTTCCACCACCGCCCATGGCACTGCGGCCTCCGCCTTCGCCAGGCGACCTTCGCTCGTGGTACTGCGGCGTCCGCCTCCGCCAGGCGACCTCCGCTTGCCTTCATCGGGTGACCTCCGCCCTCGCCGGGCCCCTCAGGCCTTCGCCTCACGCGGCCATCAGGGCGGAGGCCTTCTCATAACATTCCTGCACATCACACAAAAAACGGTTCATTTGTTAGTCTCCGCTGTCTCCAGACTCTACGTCCTCCATGGCTCGTGGTCATTCGCCAACAGTTTCCCCTTTTGAGGGCCTGGTCTGATGCTGGCGGACCTTGCCCTCAAAATACGGTATACTTTTGAGGCGCGAAGGCCCTTTGCTAACGCGCCACCTCCTTCCCCCCTAGGCCGCCCAGATCTGACCGTTGGCCTCGTGACGTTGCGTGTTTTGATTGGATGCGGTGGCTCTGGAACCGATGCGTGCGAACAGACTCGACCGTTGGCGCCTAGAAGGCAAAGCATCTGTTCACCACCTATATAAGGGGGGTGACGGGGGCTCCCCCGTCTCTTGTCTAAGCAGTCGCTTTCACATCATTTTGTTTCCAAGTTCTCGTCCTTGTTCCTTGGAGTCCTCTTTAGTTTTCTTCAGCCTTCGTTTGTTTGTCCATAGCCTCCGCTTGGCTTTAGCCCTTGCCCAATTTTTTGGCGGTGGCTCCTCCGGTCAGCTCTCCTCCCCGCCGGGCTACTTTCTTTGGTCCTTACCGCTATCTTCTTGGTGTTCGGGCGAGCAGGTGGTCTGCGCAGTTCGAGGAGTGCATGGTTGCTAGTGCGGAGGCGTAGGAGCTTGTGGAAGATCTTGCTAGCGTTGAAGCCTCCGTTGGTGATCTAATCGGAGCTGAAGAGGCGGGTCTGATGGCTGGGAAGATGTGGGATTTTTGGCCTTCGTTGATGACCAAGAAGATGATCGCCAAGCTTGAGAAGGAAGGGATATTACCCGCATACTGAGCTAAGCCTCCGTAGGGCGAGACTGTGCCTTCGCCTGGTAAGGACTACACCATTGTTTTCAATTATTACTTTTCATGCGGCCTTTGTCTACCTTTCGTCAAGTTCCTTCACCAAGTGCTTGAGGAGTTTGACCTTCAGATTCATCATTTGACCCCCAATGGCTTCCTTACTCTGAGTAAGTTTTGCTAGGCCTATGAGTCCTATGGCGCTACGCCTGATTTGGATACTTTCTGCACATACTATGAACTTCAGCGTCAGCCGAAGAAGGTGGGTGAAGATGAGCTCATAGCTCAATACGGCAGCTACGCTTTTATGGCGAAGAGGCAACAGGGGGAATCTCGATTGGAGATCTCTTGGTGTCAGAAGAACAAATGGGATAAAGACTGGATGAAATATTGGTTTTATGTCCAAACCTTTGGCGTCACCACCACACATGACGATGGAAAGAAGAGTACCCGCTTCCCGCTGGCCTCCATAATGGCAGAGATGAAGCCTCTAACGAAGGTCAATCCTTGTGGGGAGATGACTCCTTAGAGGGAAGCCTATGACAAGGCCTTCACTTTGGCTTGCCTGTACTCCGTGGGCCGTGACCTTATTAAGGAGATGGTTGCTTCGAACTGTTGGCCGCTTGGGAAATTGAGGCCTTCGTTCAAGTTGAGATGGTGAACATTCCTATTTACAACCCGGCTGAGGGGGTTCATTTCCCCCGGTTTGGGATTAAGCTGCCGGAGGGTGAGAGTGCGGAAGACTTTGTGTCTTCTATGAAGGAAGGTGCATGGGAGATCATCGGTGACATCTTCGACAGAGAATTTCTCGTGCGGTGGGCCATCGGAGGCATGATGCCTCGTCTGGATTGGGTTTTTTAAGAGTTGGGTATCCATCATGAGGAGCACAAGGTTCCTTCGCAGGTGCTAAAATCTATCAAAGAGAAGGCAAAGAAGGTTGACTTTTGTTTTTTTCCCTTCTATTTATTTTTAGTCTTATGTTTCTTATACCTGGTTTCTTGTTAGCCCGGCTTCATCACTAGTTGAGGAACGTCGATTATTTCAAGTTGCTGCGCATGAACCTAGAGCAGCAGTGTGTGGTGTGTTTCTGTTTGTTTCCTGCTTTTCCCTCCGTGTTTTTATTGTACTTTTTGTTTTGGAAGCTATGATTGACCTTCGTTTTGACATAGTCACTATATGGTGGAGGCTCTTGAAGAGCGTAGCACACAAGAGGTTGTGGACCGCAACCTGGCCATCGAGGCCTTGAAGAAGGAGATGGATATTCTTGAGGTCGAGAAGACCCGGCTTGCGGGGTAGGTTGGTGGCCTCCGCACTGCCCAAACTGAGTTGGGGGAGCTTCAAAAGAAGGTTGACTTGCTGAACAAGGAGGTGAATGGCACAAAGGCTGTTGAACATTTGGCTGCTGAACACGCCTTGAAAGCTACTGAGATGGCCGACAACCTTCGCAAGCAGGTGGACGCCGAGAGGGAGTCCAGCATTGCTTTGAAGGCGCAAGTTGAATTGTTGACTAAGCGGCTAGAGGATGCCAATGTTGCTGGGTGGCCACAACCAAGCTTTATGTGGCTCGAACGGTTTGGGGGATCTACGTCTTCACTGCCCTCCGAGCCTTCGGCGTTAAATCTCTTCTCCTAGATGAAAGCCAACTTTGTGAAGCTTGCCGACTTCGTTGGTGGCGCTGTGGACTTTGGAGCTCTGGCCTCCGCCACTAACCTTTCCAAGATGATGTTGCAGGACGGCTGCCATCACGTTGAAGGCATGCAGGAAAGGGACCTTGGGGTCCGGGTGAGCTTGGAGTGACTTCCTGCGACGTGCGAAGATCCGTCCGGCACTTTATGAAGTCGTTTTGGGTGAAATTTGGTCGGGCGGAGGCTCGCTCAATGGCGGAGGCACACCGAGCTGAGGTTGGTTTTTTCATGGATTATTGTTTTTTACTTAGGTTTTCTATTTTTTGTTTGTTCACTTGTGTGCTTGTGCTTTTTTGCAGGAGGCACAGAAGGTGGAGGTCACACATGGTGCTGTCGGAGTGCAACCTTCGCAGGCAGCATAGACGACGGCTACAAAGGCCCCCTCTCCTACTGTTGAGGCGATGGCTCCGAGGGCTCCTTCCCCTGCTATTGAGGTCCCAAGGCCCAGGGAACCTACGCCTACCCCTGCTGATCTAGAGGTGTAGTACCTAGGTTTTAGCTAGTTTCTAGGTTTGTTCGAAGGCGATGTGCTGCAAATGCCTGCCCTTTTGTATATACCTTAGGTCTAAATTGACAAATTGTCCTGTGTAGGTTTCCTTCTCTAGGCCTGTGCAGGACGTACCCCTATTACTATGTACCGTGATGGGATTTATGTTAATGGTGAACTGTGGCAATATTGGCGTGAAGCTTTTCCTCGGCGTTCGGTTCTTGAAATGTTCGATTTTGTGAAGTGTGATATTGATGATGAGCGTGCGGCATTCACTAGGTCACTAGCTTGGCGAGGGCCTCAGCCTCTGGTTTAATGTGTGGCCCTTTACGCCTGTGTCCTGTAATTTATGTAACTCCTGTCTGGGCTTGTGTTTGTTGCCTTCGGGCTTGCTGTAATGCTACTTGTGCTTAAATAACCTATGTTTGCAGTTTCCTTTGTTGTAAGGTGTTTATAATTTTTAAAAGAAGTTTGCTTGGGATGATTTGGTTGCACACTTGTTTTATTGAAGATTCTGAATATGACTACAACTTGGGCCGAAGGCTCTTAGCGAATTATTTTTACAATATTTCTTTAGCCTAGCTTCTTTCTTCTATGGTTGGAGATGAGTACGAGTCTGCGCATCGGCGTGGGGAAGCTGTGGTGCTAGTCTTTGACCTTGTGAGGCTTGCAGAAGCTCCATTGCTTATCTATTTGCTCTTGCCTCCGCAGCTCTTTTCTCTGGCTCCCGTTGGGGATGAGCTTGCGTGTCACAGTGGATGAGCTAAGCCACTCCCAAAGGCAGCGGTAATTTATTGATCGTCCTGGCCTCCGTCTTTGTGCTTGCTTACAGTCGATGGTGATGCTCTGGCACATCTGCGTGAAGGAGTTGAGGTGCTCATGTTCGATCTTACAGATGTTGCGAAGGCTTTGGCGCAATTTGAGCACTCATCGGAGGTGGTAGCCTTCGATTTTGTTGGTTCTCAAGAGGCCACAGAACAATTTGAGCAAGC